ATCGTCCATACACCACCACCGTACACTACCACCATTAATTTATATAGCAGTCTACAGACATTAAAAAAACAAACAGTCTTCTTCTTGCAGACCGCAGACCTTCGGTCCACCACTTCTCCTGCAGATGTCTACAGTAGTGGTCCGCAGACCGCAGACCTTTTCCTGCAGAAAAAACAAAAACCCCCTTACTCTAGCAGCCGCTCGTGCCTCATTGTCAATACAAATTTACTAGTCTATAAGCTTGGAAAAATACATTGGAATCTTTACATAAACAAATATTCTCGTACAACTCTTAACACTGTTGAAGTTTTCCTCCCAATTTATCAGCTGGATCAGATATTGCGTGACTACCACGACTTATCCTATTTAGTTTGGAGGAGAAAATTTAGGTTTCTTTAAAGGTGGCAAATGTATAAGATAAGGAGACTCTATATCTCCTTTGTTATTTGTTGTCATTATGAAATATCTCACTAGATATTTACGATACTATGCCTCGAAGGAGAAATTTTGATTTTACCCTCCCTACAAATCTTTTAAACTCGTCAATATTATATTTTTTGATGATATCATTGTGGCCTGTAAAGCTAAGGAGAGAATTATCAATTGTGTTATGATGGCCTTGAGACACTTTAACTTTACTACAACGCTTACTATCAATCACTCTAAGACTAAAATCATTTTTTGGAGGAGTCATTAAACGATTGGAGGTCAAACTTCTTCAGATCACTAACATGGGGAAAGGTAACTTACTATTCAGATATCTAGGAGGACCTATCACCTCTTATAGATTTTAATGGAAAGGATTGTTGTAGGATCGTTTTCTAGAACTTCCCAGTGGGTCACCCATCCTGGGACTACTCTCGTTCCAGCACGCTGAGTTCTGAAGTTAAAGAGGTGCCAAATGCTTCCTAAAACCAATTGGTGATAGGAAGGTGAACACTTTGTATTTAACCACATCTTTATGTAGCCCCAAGCCGAGGTAGATTCCTATAGGGCACCCCCTATAGTTTACTACGACAGTGCGGAGCCCCACTACTGAGCGATGGATGGACAGGAGGGGCTTCGCAAGATACACGACTCATGTACCTCGTCAGGTTGGGCTGTCAATACCCGATACCGTGACAAGCACAGTAGCGAATTCCTAAGGGTGATCGATGGTCCCCCATAAGACCAACATTTGTCAGAGGTTAATTGGGAAGATGACTATTAAGATTAATGCTTGGGCCTCAAAGCACCTCTCTTATGCTACCCAAGGCTAAATTGATTAACTCTATTTTGTATGGTGCTATTAGCTTTTGGAGCAAGTTGTTTTCAATTCCTACTAAAGTCACGATGAAGATTGAATCTCTGTGTAGGAGTTTCGTATGGGAATCTACCCAAGAACATAAGAGAATCTTGTTGGTTGCTTGGGATGGTATTTGTCTACCTACGAAGAGTGGAGGATTAGGCTTCAAGAACTTGATCATGTGGAATAAAGCTACCATCATGAAACTGGTGTGGGACATATCTTTGAAGAATGATGTATTATGAATCAAGTGAATTCATAACAAATACATTAAGGACACTAACATCTAGGAGTGTCGTAGCAAGAGGGATGATCGTTTTTATACAAAGGGTGTCTATAGGAAAATAAGTGATTGAAGTCTTTTTAAAATTGAGGGAGGTAGCCTTGAAGAATTCTTTGTGGAATTTGAGAAAGTTCAGCCGTTGAAAAGAAGGAGGGGGTTATAGCTATCTCTAGTGCATGTGTCTATTATATTTGGAAAGCTCGTAATCAAATGCTCCATCAGTGTAAACTCGTCCTGGTTCACCCATTAAATTATTTATCATGTCAATATATACTTGAGATCTAAGGCTTTACTTTGAGTTGTTAATGGTGTCAAATTATTTGTTTTCATATCTTTATTATCTTTGTACTTGGTGTTGCTTGTATTTGGGACTGAATTGGTTTGAATAAATCTTTACTTTCGATTCAAAAATAATAATTCTCACAACTCATTATACCCATCGCAAGCCCTTTAATTTCTTATAAGGGCATGTCTGTCAAAACATTACAAACAATAAGACCAACTACATTTAGCATCGTAGCTGAAAAATATAAGTCCCTTTTTTCTTTTTTACTACTGACATGCACCCAATCGCTCTAATGATTGACCCACTAGACTATGTTTCATTATGGTGAATGTCATAATCAACCTTGAGATCGCGTACGATGTCTCTGCCTTTTCAACTCCAACTCTCCTATTCAAGCATACTTTCTTCTCATTCTCCAAACTTTACGGTCTTCGTCTTTGATTTCTCTAAATCTTCCACCCTTTGTCTCCAACTCCTATAGACAACAGTGTGAATTGACATGGCCGATTAGACGTCTTCCCCTCTAACACCAAGACCTCTAAGTTAGAAGATATGCAAAATCTTCTAGGTTCTCGTTGTCGGATTTACACCATTGAGAACCTTGATTTGACAACAAAACAAGCCACCATCGTGTTGTTCTTTTGCAACGTGAATATGTAAGGTTAGGTTGTTTCCTTCCTTTCCACTCCCTACCGTGTGTAATACCTTGACACTCATAACCCGATTTACGCGGGTTAGCATATCAAAGCACTATCAATTTGGTAAAACAACATCCCATATTCTGAAAAGTAATAATAATAGTAAAAATTTATGACATTTTAAAACATTAGTTTTTCAAAATCTTCCATATTTCACAAATAAGATTGCTGACTTAATTTTCTCTTTTAATACTTACTTTCACGTAGGGTCATTCTCCGTGAAGAAAGACTCAGTAAGACTTCTCTAATACGACCACGAAATGAAACAGACTCACATGGACTCTACATGTATGTCCACAGAAGACAAACTATACAAGCATTCGGTCTTAGTGACAAATATGTCCAACAAAAAATTTCAACAAGTATAGACATGAAACATAGTGTTAGCGTACAAATATAAGTCAAACACTAACAAACATCATTGCCAATATGCTATGAAACCAAAACCAAATAGACTCAAATGCATGGGCACTAAATGTAAGTGCACAAAAGACAAACATATACAACCCGACATACGGTAATGGTGATAAAGATGTCCAATAAAAAATAAATGCAAAACTAAACTTCCTCTAATAAACACACTTAACTTCCTTTGATTTCATGCTTGATTCTAACATTTTATAGGTATATATACGAAGTTATATACTCCCTCCGTCCCAAAAAGATTTACACGTTTCAAAAAAATTGTTTCCCACAATCCCTTACCCATTTCTATTAGAAAACAACTTTTACCCCTTACTTTTTCAAACCCTACCTATCACATCATACCTTTTTCCTAATAATCTACACATCACATCTTACTTTTACCCATCACATCAAGGGTATTTTTGGAAAGTCAACACAAAATTATCTCTCCCTTAATTTCTACTTTAGTCAAAATGGGTAACACTTTATGGGACGGAGGGAGTATCATTTATCACCAAAATTCATATTGAATGTTAGTAAAAAAAAATGTGAATAAATGTTCCAGATCAAATCTGTAAATGAACTTGGTTATTGCTTCCATGCCTAAAAGACATTAAACTCATTCTTGATCATTGTTCATAAAAAAGACATCGAACTTAGTGATTTTGAGGTGTGTTAGGGGTACTTCAAACTTTGTACTTTAACTTATGCACTAGTGTATTACTAAGACACATAGATAACCATTGCTTGATATAGTAATTTACAAACTAGCATATAAAATTTAGAGTACATATCTAACTTTTTGCATTCATTTTTCCTACAATCATCTTCAAGTGTTGGTCGGTGAAATATTTCTTCCAGGGGAAGGGGAGTGAGAACAAATATGTAGTCGAGATAGGATAGGGTGTGTCCCATATTTCAAAAATAAAGAGTCACGAGAAAAGATAGTCCAGTGTGGTTGTATCATTCGTCACACACTACCACTCCTCATGCTTCTCATCCTTTTTTTCTTTTCTATATCGTCATTTTCTATTTATGACTACTATTCCCAAATCCCAAAATGATTCTTTTTTTTTGTTGTTTTTTGTCTCTTAATTGTTATTAGCTCATAAATTACTGTCATGTACACTCTTTAATTACAATTACGCACATACATTTCTGCATTGTTGGTGATAATCACAAGAGTTAATACCTTCTTAATTACTATTACCCACATACATTTCCCCTTTTCCCATTTTCGCTCTGGGTAAAATTTTCTCTTCTTCTTCTGTTTCCCAAATTTCCAAAATTTCAAGAGCTCCGTTTTCTTCCATGGCCGCCTGACTCCATATCAAACCCCCCTCTCCATCTCTCTCCAAAACTTCCTTTTCAACATCCATAACTTCTGCATATAGACATGTTTTCATATGTATATATAGACACATAAATTCTTGTTCTTGACGATTCCTCTTTCAGAACCCAGGTAATCTAAAAGGTGAGTTTTTTTTCTTTATATTTGTAGAGCCACAGATACAAACCCTTTGATTTCTGTAGGGTGTGATTTTTTTCATGTGTATATTTGTTTAATTGATCTGTCAAGGGTTTATTTTGCTGCAATTTTTGTATATTTGGTCAAAACAAGCTTCGATTGGTCATTGGTCTTTGTAGAAATGAAAGAAGAGTCAAAACTTTCTTGTTCCGATTGATTGAAAGTTTCAAAGTTGTGGTAAATATACGTGTTTTTAGTCTACTGTCTTAGAGTTGTTATCTGCTGGAGGAAAGTTGTGATTTTTATGGAAATTCTTTAGGTTTTGTTCCTCAAACTTTTCACTGTGTCTGAACTTTTGCTGGATTCCTCTTTTCAAGCGGGTAGAACTGTTTATTACCGAGTTTATTTTTATTATGAATCGAAATTTAAAGTTTGTGATCACAATTAAAGCAAATGTTTATGGTCAATATTAAGACTAAAGCTGTATATTGATTTTTTCTGAGTTCCACCCTTTTGGATTTGTTTTCTATTTCTAGATTTCTGATTTTTTATGAAGTTTTGTTAGGATGCTGATGCAGTTGATCCAACCCTTTTCTTCTTTTTACAGGTAGAGACAGATGTTTCTTCCGAAAATGAATATTCCTGCAGAGAAATTGGTACTCTCTCTAATTTTCGACTCATGCATACCACACATTCTTGAAAATCATATGAAAAAACATAGTGGACTAAGATGATCTAAGTATTGGCATCCATTATTGGTTTTAATTATT